AAAAAACTGTCACGTTACTCGATCGCGAGCTACTCGATCACGATTCGTCCGAACAATCCTCCGTTTTAAAGTATTTAATCCGCGGAAAAAATCGGATTTGCTGGACAAAACGAGAAAAGAGAAGGTAAATAAAAATGTAACAAGGTACAGAGATTGTTGGAGTGGCGCTCGCTCGAGGAATTTTAAAAAATCGTCACGTTTTATTGCGACGAACTTTGGTAAATTTCTTGTTTCTCTTGTGAGGCTGCGGAACTTCTACGCGGGACAAAGAGAGAATAAAAAAAAAAAAGCAGTAAGGGAAAAGAAAAGTAATTAGTTACGTCGATTTAGTGTGCTTTAATAGTTGGGAATTTGATAGAAAGCCCGGAAGTATAAGCCATTTAGCGGTTAAACGTCTTGATTGAGTTACGAGCGAAAGAAATTTATAGTCTGCTTGAGAGAAAGAGAGAGAGAAATAGAGATGGGGGAAAAACATGATATAAAAATTCGCCAGGTTTTAAATTATTAGCTACTTATCGTGGATCAAAATTAATTTTTAATATTTTATTTTTATGATCGATTGAATTCATTTTAATATTCACAATTGAAGGATTAACAGCAACTATATTATCTGATTCATCAATTAATTATACATGATTTTACGTGATATTTATTATGTAGAGGGTCATTTTCATTGTGCATCATCAACGGGACCAGTATTTTCAATTATTGCAAGACTTTAAAGGACTCTTTCTTTTCTTTTTGAGATTTTTTTTTCCATCTTTATGTCCCCTTGAATAATGAAAATACCTCTACAGCTGTGTTTTTACAGTCTCGTAAATTAGACGCTGATGGCGACCGAAACGCAATGGCTGGAACCATCAACGTGCAGGAAACTTTAGCATAATGTCTCAAGCATCGCCCGTGTAATCGTTCGTGTGCGCATATGCACGTATACGTATACGCTGTATATTGAACATTGTGTCGCTTCTTAAGTGCATTCTCTAAAGGGTACAGGTACATAGCTGTTGCTTGACTGTCGTATTATCAGCTCGTAAGGTTGTCGTCATCAACCCGTATCATTCTAACACCATTGAAATATACCACGATAGTCTCGCGAATTTTCAGACACGCTTCATCGTGTCACAAATTACATGGATGGACTTAATTTAGTCTACTGAATTGGCGTTTAAATTTGAAAGTCGTCATTTTTCGAGCATATGTATTTTAATGTGACTTTTGGAAGGTTTGTATCTAAGGTTTATTACAGAAGAATATAGTATGTCGCATTTTAAGAGTCGTCGTGTATCAATTTTATTTTGGTATTGTTTAATTTTAAAGCAATTTATGCAAATTATTAGTGGGAATTGAAAGGAGATAATATGAACAACTGAGTTGCAGTAATAGTAAATTAAGCTACTGTTTCATCCCTAAATTTTTTTCTTTCATATTCCACCCCATTTTGTTCCTTTTCCATAAAAAAAGGGAATTTGAATAATTTTTACTGGTGACTGGTTATTATTATCTCACAGAAAATGACTGGAATAAAAAGATCCCATTAAAAGAAACTTTATTCAGCGCCAGTTTCTGGTCAAATAACTAAGAGTCGTGACCACTCTCAATAAAAGAAGTAAAAAATTCTAATTCCTAAAGCCAGGACAGAAGACAAGATCGAAGTCTTAATCTACGAAAAGATATCGCTTGTGCGAAGGTGTCATCCAAAGATGAAAAGACCTCGTTAGGCGGAATTCTGTACAGCTTTCTACAAGAAATCAAATCCAAGAACCAGTCGCTCTTGGTAAAAAAATAAAAAAAGAAAAAAAATACACTTCTTGAAGCAGCGACTCCTTCGCCAGCAATAGGATTGAATCTGAATCTCCGGAAATAGGTTTCCTCGCTCGAACAATATTCGCAGGACCTCGAACGAAGGGACCGTGTCGGCTAATCATCATAACTCGCCCCTAATGGAGCGCGTGTTCGCGTCGCGCAAAGCGTGACCTATCCTTCTTGCGCGAGAGGAATCCGAGGACAACGTCGTCCTCGTCGTCGTCCCACAATGTTGATATTCCGACGATGCGAGAAGCGTAGTTCGTTAGGTCAGCGGATAATTAGTGACGGCGTTCCGCTCCCGGCGAAAGCGCGATGCTGCTTTCTTGCGCTCGCGACACCGTGCCAGTCGCATACAGAGTTCCCCGGTCGTCCCTCCGACTCCGGATTCGACGACTTTTTGCCACTTTCCGAAAGAAACGTTCCGTATCCTCTCGCGGGAACCTCTCTAATTTTCGCTCCGAGCTGAGCGGAAATGGCGCGCGCAAGGGAATTTCTTTTGCACGAAGGAGCGCGAAGTGGAGAGATTCACCCTTTTTTTCTCTCTCCTTCTCTGAATGTAATTTTAAATTAGACGTCGGAATTTCGTAATTGCACGCTCGTTTCTACGCCCACCAGCTCTTTCTCTCTCTCTCTCTCTCTCTCTCTCTCTCTCTCTCTCTCTCTCTCTCTCTCTCTCTCTCTCTCTTTCTTTTTTGTGCGCAAGCGTACAGCACCGAGCGACTACAGATCGTTGACTGGCAACTGTTCTTTAAATTTATTATAATTTATGCCTAAACGCATGCACAAATTGGCAAATATTCAGATTTTTATTAACAAATTATTAAAGAAAAAGTCTTGATATTTTCGATAGTAGAAGAATACATATAAATAAATGAATTTATTTAACTGATGCATGTGTGTAAAATAAGAAAAGAAGGTTATGTTTAATCACTGTCGAATATTGTAGGTAAATATTCATATTTTAGAAAATATGACTAAATCATAGAAATGCATAGGATAAAACTAAAAGGAATAATGGAAGTAGGACATTTGAGGAAGGTAGAGAATAAATTAATATTGGTGATAGATAACAGTTTTACGTGTGAGAAAATTATTGAAATAAATTTAAATTTTAAACTATTTCTAGTTTAAATGTACTTCTCGAGATGTCCATCTACGGCAGCACTGTACAGTTCAATAATTTCACTTTTCCTCTTACATTTCAAGCAACATACGCATAGTAGGAATCTAATATACCGCAGTATATTATGTCATTGCCTGAAACAAATGAGATAAATGAATATATCAAATACCTTGTCTGTGATTAAATAACAAGGATAGACCGGATATCCAATGCTTTTTCGTGTTACATGTTTCGAGGGTCGCCAATCCACCATTTTATACCATTTTCGTATCACATTCTACCATATCGATTTGAGCAAGTTTTCCACCGCAGCTCTACTAGTAGTAGGAAGTAAAATCAGAAAATATAAATAATGGTCATACACCAAAAATTATTTATTGAATTGGATGCGAACGATTACTTGAATAACTATTCTTAAGAGGCGACCAATTTAATTTTTGACTATAATACAATTATTTTCTACATAAATCGGTATTATATCACAGATTTCTAAATTAACATTTAATATATGTCAACAGACTTAAGTTAAAACGTAACTGTATAAACGTAGTTTTAGTTTGCGAAAAATATAAACATTACAGTATTTATTGTAGCCTTAAGTATAATGAGAGTTATGAAACAATAAAAACGTAAAAGTTTAATTAAATAAAACGTAAAAACTAAAATTATTGATTACTGTAAAAAAAGAGTTTTTGGAAGTATTGACAAAGACTACTTCCTGTTGTGCATCACTGACTATACCTGAAGATTGAACTGAATATTCTAATTGTTTAAATATTATCTAAATAATTTATTTGTAACAATTAAACGAAAAATTTCCTTTAATAACATTTCCAACAACTATTTAAAATTTTCAGTTGATTTCTAGCGATTGAGTCACTAATATGTTATTAATAAATTATGAAATTTTAATAAACTGTTACCGATCAATCGATTAACGCGGTAAGGTAAATTTCGATCGGAAATAAGAGCTAGGTATAAATCGAACCTTCGTTTACGATTCGACGTAAATTTTAGAAACAAATTTTTAAATAATATTTCTAAATATTCCAATTGTTTAAACATAATCTAATATTTCTAATATTTCTAATAACTTGTAACAATTAAACAACAAATTCTCTTCTATAACGTTCCTAAGTATTTAAGCTTTTATACTACTCAAAATTTTTAATTAATCATTTGTAGTAATCGAGCCACTAAAGCATTACTAAGAAACTTTAATTAACAGTTTTAATTATCAAATTCACTCTTTTACTTAATTAAATTTTATTAAATTATCAAACAAGAATAATTATTCAATATCATAAATTAGTCATTAGAATCATCAAACAATTATGCCATATTTTACGAATACATCTCCTCTTTGCACAAATTACATAAATTACTTCAATACAAGTTGTGACTTGTGTGATAAATACAAAAAACAGTACAGATTTACAATAAATTATAATGAGATCCGTGCGTAGTCACCGCCACCTGGTAATTGATAACGTTTTACAAACTTTAATGATATCAAGATAAGAACTACGCAACCTAGAGTTTTGTTTACAGCATACAAAATTCTTTCATCAGTATAATCAAGAAATAATTAGATAACAAGTGAAATATTGACAAAAAATACGAATTTCCAACGAAAAATAACTTTCAATTTTCGAGATATTTCAGTGTATAGAATTTTCGAAAACACTCTGTCAGACGAACACCTTCACGCTGGGTCTTGTCAAGAAACTTACTGATGCTCATGTGCTCCTGATACAAAATTCGCAACTTTAGCGAGATACAACTTCTGTTTCTCCAGATATTACAACATGAAATTCTATTGGACAATTCTGTACCAGAAGAACATCTCGTGCCACATCTTCGACGGTAATATGCTCCCGATACAAAATACGAAATTTCAGAGAGATGCAGCTTCTGGTTCTCGAGGTATTTCCACCTAAATTTCTTTCGAAAAACCTCTGTATCAAGAGAACGGCTGGAGGCGGGGATTTGTCTTGCCACCTCATAGAATATCATGTTCTCCTGATACAGAATACGAATTTTGAGCCAGCTATTCCTTCTCCCTCACCAGACATTCCAGGATCAAAATTTTTTAAAAAACTTCTGTACGAGGAGAACTCCTTATCGGCGGGCAATGTCATGCCACTTCCTCGACTGTCATGCTCTCCTAATACCAAATACGAATTTTTAGCCACCTATTCCTTCTCTATCACGAGACATTCCAGGTTCAAAATTTTTCAAAAAACCTCTGTATCAGGAGAACCGTATATCGGAGGGCGATGTCGTGCCACCTCCTCGAGTGTCATGTTCCCCTGATACAGAGTACGAATTCTGAGCCAGCTGTTCCTTTTTGCACACGCGATATTCCAGGTTCAAAATTTTTCAAAAAACCTCTGTATTGGGAGAACCGTTTACCGGTGAGCGATGTCTTACCACCTCCTCGAAGGTCATGTTCTCCTGATACCAAACTCGAATTTTCAGCCATCTATTCATTCTCTTCCACGAGATATTCCAGGTTCAAAATTTTTCAAAAAACTTCTGCATCAGGAGAACCGTTTATCGGAGGGCGATTTCGTGCCACCTCCTCGAGTGTCATGTTCTCCTGATACAGAACACGAATTTTGAGCCAGCTGTTCCTTCTCCCACACGAGTTATTCCAAGTTCAAAATTTTTCAAAAAACTCCTGTATCAGGAGAACCGTTTATCGGAAGGCGATGTCGTGCCACCTACTCGAGTGTCATGTTCTCCTGATAACAAACACGAATTTTCAGCCATCTATTCAATCTCTTCCACGAGATATTCCAGGCTCAAAATTTTTCCAAAAACCTCTGTATTAGGAGAACCGTTTATCGGAGGGCGATGTCGTGCCACCACCTCGAGTGTCATGTTCTCCTGATACAGAATACGAATTCTGAGCCAGCTGTTCCTTTTTCCACACGAGTTATTCCAGGTTCAAAATTTTTCAAAAAACCTCCGTATCAGGAGAACCGTTTACCGATGAGCGATGTCGTGCCACATCCTCGAGTGTCATGCTTTTCTGATACCAAACACGAATTTTCAGCCATCTATTCATACTCTTCCATGAGACATTCCAGGTTCAAAATTTTTCAAAAAACCCCTGTATCAGGAGAACCGTTTATCGGAGGGCGATGTCGTGCCACCTCCTCGAGTGTCATGTACTCCTGATACAGAATACGAATTTTGAGCCAGCTGTTCCTTCTCCCTCACGAGACATTCCATTCTCAAAATTTTTCAAAAAACGTCTGTATCAGGAGAACGGTTTATCGGCGTGCGATATAGTACCACTTGCTCGATTGTCATGTTCTTCTGATACCCAATACGAATTTTCAGCCATCTATTCATTCTCTTCCACGAGACATTCCAGGCTCAAAATTTTTCAAAAAACCTCTGTATCAGGAGAACCGTTTATCGAAGGGCGATATCGTGCCACTTGCTCGATTGTCATGCTCTTCTGATACCCAGTACGAATTTCCAGCAATCTATTTCGTCTCTTTCACGAGATATTCCAGGTTCAAAATTTTTCACGAAACCTCTGCATCAGGAGAACCGTTTACCGGTGAGCTATGTCGTGCCACTTCCTCGAGTATCATGTTCTCCTGATACCAAACACGAATTTTCAGCCATCTATTCATTCTCTTCCACGAGATATTCAAGGTTCAAAAATTTCAAAAAACCTCTGTATCAGGAAAACCGTTTATCGGAGGACGACATCGTGCCAGCTCCTCGAGTGTCATGTTCTCCTGATACAGAATACGAATTATAAGCCAGCTGTTCCTTCTCCCACACGAGTTATTCCAGGTTGAAAATTTTTCAAAGAACATCTTTATCAGGAGAACCGTTTACCGGTGAGCTATGTCGTGCCACCTCCTCGAGTGTCATGTTCTCCTGGTACAAAATACGAATTATAAGCCAGCTGTTCCTTCTCCCACACGAGTTATTCCAGGTTCAAAATTTTTCAAAAAACCTCTTTATCAGGAGAACCGTTTACCGGTGAGCTATGTCGTGCCACCTCCTCGAGTGTTATGTTCTCCTGGTACAAAATACGAATTATAAGCCAGCTGTTCCTTCTCCCACACGAGTTATTCCAGGTTCAAAATTTTTCAAAAATCCTCTTTATCAGGAGAACCGTTTACCGGTGAGCTATGTCGTGCCACCTCCTCGAGTGTTATGTTCTCCTGGTACAGAATACGAATTTTGAACCAGCTGTTCCTTCTCCAGCACGAGTTATTCGAGGTTCAAAATTTTTCAAAAAACCTCTTTATTAGGAGAACCGTTTACCGGTGAGCTATGTCGTGCCACCTCCTCGAGTGTCATGCTCTCCTGGTACAGAATACGAATTTTGAACCAGCTGTACTTCTCCCGCACGAGTTATTCCATGTTCAAAATTTTTCAAAAAACCTCTGTATCAGGAGAACCGGTGAGCTATGTCGTGCCACCTCCTCGAGTGTCATGTTCTCCTGGTACAGAATACGAATTTTGAGCCAGTTCCTTCTCTTTCACGACATACTCCAAGTTCAAAGTTTTTCAAAAAACCTCTGTATCAGGAGAACAGTTTGTCGGCGGGCGATGTCGTGCCATTTCTTCAGCCATCCATTCATTCTCGTTCGCGTGATATTCCAGCTTCAAAATTGTATTTTGTATCAGGCGAATATGACACTCGAGCAGGTGGCACGACATCGCGGGCCGGTAAACGGTTCTCCTGACCCTGAGGTTTTTTGAAAAATTTTGAATCTGGAATAACACGTGTGGGGGAAGGAATAACTGTCTCAAAATTCGTATTCCGCATCAGGAGAACATGACACTCGAGGAAGTGGTAAGACATCGACCGCCGACAAACGCTTCTCGTGATACAGAGGTTTTTTGAAAAATTTTGAACCTGGAATATCGCGTGTGCAAGAAGGAACAGCTGGCTCAGAATTCGTACTCTGTATCAGGAGAACNTACTCTGTATCAGGAGAACATGACACTCGAGGAGGTGGCACGACATCGCCCTCCGATAAACGGTTCTCCTGATACAGGGGTTCTTTGAAAAATTTTGAACCTGGAATATCGCGTGTGCGAGAAGGAACAGCCGGCTCAGAATTCATACTCTGTATCAGGAGAACATGACACTCGAGGAGGTGGCACGACATCGCCCTCCGATAAACGGTTCTCCTGATACAGGGGTTTTTTGAAAAATTTTGAACCTGGAATATCGCGTGTGGGAGAAGGAACAGCTGGCTCAAAATTCGTGTTCTGTATCAGGAGAACATGGCACTTGAGGTGGTGGCACGACATCGCCCTCCGATAAACGGTTCTCCTGATACAGAGGTTTTTGGAAAAATTTTGAGCCTGGAATGTCTCGTGGAAGAGAATGAATAGATGGCTGAAAATTCGTGTTTGTTATCAGGAGAACATGACACTCGAGTAGGTGGCACGACATCGCCTTCCGATAAACGGTTCTCCTGATACAGGCGTTTTTTGAAAAATTTTGAACTTGGAATAACTCGTGTGGGAGAAGGAACAGCTGGCTCAAAATTCGTGTTCTGTATCAGGAGAACATGACACTCGAGGAGGTGGCACGAAATCGCCCTCCGATAAACGGTTCTTCTGATACAGAGGTTTTTTGAAAAATTTTGAATCTGGAATGTCTCGTGGAAGAGATTGAATAGATGGCTGAAAATTCGTGTTTGTTATCAGGAGAGCATGACAATCGAGGAAGTGTCACAATATCGCCCACCGATAAACGGTTCTCCTGATACAGAGGTTTTTTTGTAGCGTTCGATATATTTCCGCTTGAATTTTTTTCAGGAAACTTCTGTATCAGCAGTACCTCTCGATGGGGGCCTTATCGTGCCACCTCCTATATCCCCGTGTGCTCCTGATACAAAATTCGTAATTTCAGCGAAAAGCACCTTCTTGCTCTCGAAATATTCCCGCTTGAAATTTTTTCGTAAAATTTCTGTATCAGGACAACCGCTCGACGGGGTTCTTGTTGTGCTACTTCCTCGAATCTTATGTGCTGCTAATAGAAAGTGCAGAATTTCAAGAGAAACAGTTTCTGGCTGTCGAGATATTCCCGTTTAAAAAATGTTCAAGGTCCACCTGTATCAGGAGAACTGCATGCCTTGGTTCTTTGACGTGACACCTCCTCCATATTCATGTTTTCCTAAATATTTCGAGAACTAGGAGGTATTTTCCAAATTTTCGGATTTTGTGCCAATAATTTACTTATTATCTAGTTCATCCTACTGTCCAGTTCACTTAGTTAAATGAGACAATTTTGCAGGATATAAACTGAACTGTAATTTGCGTAGTTTTTAGCTTGATATAATTTTTCAAACGTTAATGTTTGGAAATCGATATCAATTACCAGGTCTCACCACGAGGAGGTAACTACGCACGAGACCCACACTGGACCGTAAACCTGTTCATCTTCTTTTACATGTGACTTCTTTTATTCTATTTGATTTAGGATTTCATAAAAAGAAGACAGATGTTCCATTGGACTTAAATCTAATGCTTAATTCTAAAACGCAAGACTAGGTTTGAATTATGGAACTCTGTGTTCCAAGCAACAATTGGAGTAACAATAAATTCATTTCTCACACAATCATACAATAAATCACACAATTCGTACGATTGTGCTAATGTATCATACAGTAAGTCGTCTTAAGTCGCAGTCTTTTGTGTTAAAGATACATTTATCTAATTCGAGACTAAGAAAACTACTTCCTGCAAAATGGCTTCGTAAGGCCTGCGAAAGAGGATTCGTTTCGGTATACTAACCTCTACAAATTTACTTCTGCGACATTAATATTTTTCATTTCAAACTCCTTACGACCTTACGATTAACCAAAACTAAACGCACGCAACTTAATGTTAAAACGCCCGCATTTTAAACAATTGGCAATATTCAAAAATATTATTTGGAAATTCACTTCTAAAATTCGATGTCGATGTGTATGCGACGGACGTTTAATAAGTAATGATCTCTCCGTACAAGTCACGATTAATTTCGTCAGTGATACGGAAATTAATTTTTGGAAATCTTTAATACTTCGTTTGATCATTTTTCGATATTTGTTTTTTTATAACCCCCACTAATTTAAGGCAATAACAAATACTGTAATTTCTATATTTTTCGTAAAGTGAAACTACCTTTTTATTTCTATGATATTTTGATGTATTAGTTAATAATTTAACTATTTATTTAAACAATTGAGTTTAAACAATTTATAATTTAATTACTTTATATTTTCGGACATTATTTCGCAGTTTCAATAATTCATTTATGGCAGTTCAATTATTTTCTATATTCCTAAAGATTGTTCGACAATTAACCTGTTTGTGACAATTAAACTTAGTTTAATTTCTTCTATACTCCTCGTCTGTGCTTGTATGTATCATTTTACTTGGTATAGTTCTCCAATTCGCCGTTGCTTAAGCCACAGACGTCTGTGTTTAAACGTAGAGTGCGCTAAAAAACCACTGATTCTTTTCTTGGTCGGTATTTCAGATTCTGAGACACGAAATCCATGTCATGTCTAATCTATTCTATATAAAGTCAATGATAATATAAATATGTTTCGTTATCACACGAAAACGGTCATGAAACGTCGATTTCTTTTCCGCAGGATATCATCGTTGCGAAAATACACACGTTTCTGATTATATCCAGCTTTTGAATTTAAATAAAAAAAACCATTACTCTTATAGATATACATACGTTGATAACCAGTCATTGATTATAAATTTTTCTAGCAAGGAGTTAGGAAAGAAAAAAAAGAACAATGAAATAATATTTTACCCCGCGTAGAATATAGGATCTATCAAATGTTATAATATGCACATAAAGACGAATTATAGTAATTATATTTTTAGCATTGTTAGGAAAAGATTATAAAATTCAAGAGTCTGACATACATACATTTCAATACGTAAACGTACCAATTGAATAAATATTATCATTATAATAATAATTATTATTATTGTTATCATTATTATTATTATTATCTTTACAATGAGAATAAATGATACATTTGAAGTCGTTGAAAGATTTATCGATTGAAATTGTTATAAATATTACTAAAACAATAATTTACTTAACTGTCATTTATTGATTTGAAACAAATATAAATTGGCACAACGATTTTTTTTTTCTGGCGAATCCCTTAAATAGCCGCCTCTTTTAAATGCGATATACTTTTCTACTCTGTGATTGTCGTGTCGTTACGTATTTCGAAACGAAACTGTAGAAAGTATACTAATCGCGATTAAGAGAAATTATTCTAATCGTTAATTTATTTTGCAACGAATTTTGGAGATAAATGAACCGTTCGTGCACAATTTGATTACATTTTCGTAAAATACATAGCTTATTAAGAGGAAGGATTCAGAATTTGCGCAGCAGCTGATGTGTAAAGATGGCCAAGCTCGTCAATACAAACAAATAGTGGTCAGTGATGTGCTGGTTTTATAATTGACTGCGCGTAAAGGGTGAGTAAATTTGACTCGCGTAAATAACACGGATAAATACTACCATTCTCCATTTGTCATAATATTTTCTAAAAGGTATTTAGAAATCTCGGAAATATCGAATGATAAATGACATCTGTCTTGACCTGCTCAATAAAACTCATTCACATCGAATTTATACAACAGCATTATCTCCACATGGAAATTTTTGCTAATCAATCCTTTTGAACTAGTTCTAAATTAATTTTGTACTAATATGCCGTTTGCTCTTTTATCAAGGCCCCTTTGATAAATTACAGGGCCTATCGTATTTTTTAATATGGCCTTTTCAAGCTGAAGGTGTGAGATTCAATTTCTTAAATTATCAATGCAATATTTTCTTTTTTTAAACGATCCTTTCTTGTTGCGTTTAATTGACGATTTTTATATTTATAATTGCGTGTTATATTTTATGTCCTGTTAATTTTATATTGGAGTGTTTTTATATTTATAGGCAAATGATAAGGACATTTATTTTGTTGCACATTAAAAGATGGCTTATGATCCACGCAATCTAAAATTTCCATCAGACATGCACAGCCATCAGCATAATCAGCCTAATATGAATGGATACACATATTCTGGACATTCAGTATCTCACGTTCAACAAACAGATGAAAACAGAAATGAAAATAATTGTGGAAATAAGGAAACATGCCCACAAATATCTCATCAATCTTCGGGTACACAGACTATTCAAAAAGTAGATGTAGCAACTATGACTGATCCGTTGCAAATAGACTTTAAACTTACTTCTGAGTACTTAGCACGATGTTCTAGTACGTTAGATTTACCTTATGTAGCAAAATATGAAGAGAATAGCAACAATTCAACACATAATTGTCAAGAAACTCAATCAGAAATTGAATATGAGGTTGAGCCACAACATATCAATGGTAAATACATATAAAAGGATACAGCAGAAATTATTTGCCTAAAGAAATTTGTTATCAGAGCTTTTATTTCAGGCATGTTAATCTATCAATGTCCGGAGTGTGCATACAGATGTGAAGACAGAGAGATATTGCATGAACACTTAGAAGATCACAGACAACGACCTCACATCTGTGATATTTGTGGTGCAAGTTTAAAACGCAAGGAGCATCTAGATCGTCACAAACAAGGACACAATAAAGATAGGCCGTATCAGTGTAATATGTGTCGTAAAGCATTTAAACGCAATGAACATCTTGCACGACACATGATTATACACTCAGGTAGAAAAAATCAAGTTTGTACAGAGTGCGGTAAGGCATTTTACAGAAAAGATCATTTGAAAAAGCATTTGCAAAGTCATAGTGGTAGCAGAGGTAAAACTTTAAATGGTTCACAGAATAATCAAAATAATAGTGATGAAGGAGGATTAAGTAGTTTTGCAATGATGATGAGACAGGCTGGGCCACCTCCGTTTTCTATTTTGAGAACTTAATACATTTTTATTTTAATCTAAAGCAAAGTTGTTTTATTTTAATCTTAAAAACAAACTTAGGCAATTTAAATCTAAGAGATTGATACAGCGAGCTTTATCAGAGACACCTTCATGATGTAACAAAATAGTTGTTGATGGTTCAGAATTTTGTGGTTACATGTGTATATTAGTCTGTGAACGCTACTTGTAATGTAGCTAATTGTAAGAAACAAATGGGCTCTAAAATAATTCTGCAAATTTTATATTTCTCTTTTAATGCGCCTCTAATATGCACAATATTCTTAAAGTAAGAATGTACCTGTTAAGAGCAGTTTTTTGAAAAATAATATATATATATATTTAGATACTTTAAACAATTTTATTTAAAGAAATATTTATATAAATTATTTAAGCTTTTATATAAATTACAACTGGGTATAAGCCTATTGTTAAAATTTTTTCCTTAGATTTTACATTTAAAATGAGGTTTGAAATATATGAAAACGACAAATATATAGTTAACTTAATAATGGAAGTTTTAGTTTTAAATTTTATAAACAAATATCAGTCTATTGATTAAATGTATCTTACTGTATTCTAAATTAAAGCAGCCTTTGGAAGACCAGCTTTTAAATACTTTTATTTTTAAACGAAAAGTGATGCTAATACTTTTAATGCAGTGCACAAATATTTCTTGTTATGCTCAAGATGTGTATTTGTTATATATATGATGTGTAAAAGGGAAATGAGGATACGTGACTTTGTTTTCTGCTAAAATAACAGTATCAATCATCTTGTATGTTGTGCCTAAAAGAAACAGGATAATGACATCTATCTTTGCACATAATTATGAAAAAGAGATATAAAATTAACATCAAGAATAGTTTTTAATCGATGAAATGCTGGAAAGGAACATTGCACAGAGTATAGTTGTTTTAAAATAAGGACAAATTGTTGCATAATTATTGTTTATCATATAATATTAGTTTTTATGTTTCTCTTTATTTATATATTTTTACCTTATTTCATACTATACATTGTAAATATATAGAATTAAAGAAACTTTAGTCCAAGTTAGGATAAGAGCAATGTTCCTTAATGTTTAAATGACATGTCATGTTAACTGATGATTTAATATTGTAGTTTACATTGTGCGAAAATGTGAGTATGTGTTTATTAACAAAAGCATGCGTGTGTTATAAACAAATGCATAGATACACGTATAATATGTTGTGTGTTTTTATTATATTAATATGTTGTATATTATACGCGCATTTACATGTGAAATGTTATGTTATGTTAAATTGCTCCTGTACATTATTTATATTTATCAGGAAGAACTATATCGACTTGTGTAATGCTTCCAAAGTGTACATAATTGGACATATTACATGAAATAACATATGGTTGAAGAAGATCAATGTTTTGTTATCGGTTGTAGCAATTATAATTAAACTAATAAATCATTGTGACATAAAATTATAAATTGTTTTGAATTGAACCATAGTAATATTTCACAGCTTGTGTACGAGTATGTGTTTGTTTTTGTTTTTAACAGTGGGATGTGGAAAAAGAAGGAATTGAATGAATAATAAAAAATTGGCATACTTTCTTAAATGACTTTTCATACAATTTTTTTTATATATATATAGATATATATATATTATATATATATATAGGGTATTACATAAAGCAGCACTGGGAAATGTCCGAAAAAACGTTCACAAACTTTAAACTTCTATCCTCGCAACCTAAATTCGTCTGTCTGTATTTTTTTTTGTATACCTACAGCTCCCTTTTACACGTTTCCTCTTCTCGTCTACTAAATAAGTCTTGCTTTCTTTCATCTCTTTGTTTCTCACAAACCGCGTACCTCTTTCCTCGATCTTACATTCCTGAAGATTACATGTTTTTTATGCACTCTATACAAAAATAAAACGCTGAGATCATCAGAGGGTTCGCATAGTTATACACACAATTTCTTTAGTCGTTTCTTTCATCTTTTTGTTTCAGCTTATTTTTCTTTCCTTTTCTATCTCTCTTTTTTCTCGCTTTTTCTTCTCTCTCTCTCTCTCTCCCTCCCCCTTTTTACTTTTTGCCTGCTCTTTCCCTTTTTGATTTACGTACCATGACGAACGAACAGTATCACTCTACTCTTTTCTTTGTACCCTGGAAGACTGCGGTACAAATATTTCGATGAGGAACAAACGGAAATGAAGAGGAAAGAAAACATGGTGGATACGAACGAAACGACTCGTATCTTCTACATACATGTATCACGAGTAAAATAAGTTTTGTTTTAATTTGACTATTTCCCTTTCTTCCTTTCTCCTTTATTATCTATCGGATGTCCGGAAAATCCACAACCGGAAACGCGATCTTACGTGTCGTGAGAAATGAAGAACGAGTGAATTTCTTTCTCAAAGGAAGTACATTGTTCATTGACGTCGTATTCTTGTTAAATACTTTTCTGTTTCTTTTTCTTTTTTTTTTTTTTTTTTTTTTTTATGATTTCAATTCAAGCTACTAATGATCGCAATCGTGGCAGTATCTATACGCATTTTAAACATATACGGTTTATCGTAACACGCTGAACGAATCGGCGAATGTTCAACAAAGAAACTTGTTTCTCAAAACAAGGGGCAGAATGTGTAATTCAGTTCGAGGCGGGGCTGTATCGAAACCTCAAGTTTTTCCAAACAATAACACATCTTATTATTCGTGCATTAAGCGGTGTCGAAATTATACCTCGGAGAGTTCTACACGGTTTATATAAAATATTCACCATTCACAATTTGGCTAGTCTATTATAAAAGTATATAGTACCTTGCTAACATTTGATCGGTCGCAATATAAGTACCTTGCGCTATTTCGAGTAATCTATAAAACGTCAGCCTTTGCAGTCTCGTACAAAAAGTTTGTAAGAATATTCTCTCTTACGGATTCTTTAGTATTGCGTTCGTGTGTTCAGTAAAAAAAAAAAAACAGTTTCTTCGAAATAAAAAGAAAGAAAGAAAGAAAGAAAAAAAATTTTTCGTAGATTCGACACAAATAAATTGCATACACGATTTGTTGACACCCTCTGCACTTAAGTTCTCGAAGAACTTAAAAGAAAAGAGGAAAACGAGATAAACTACCAAACTTTCAAGGAAGCTTTCACGCTTCTCTATATATTTGTTTTTCTCTCTTCTCCGGAGTAGGATTTTCACGAAATATTCGAAAAATCGTTAGATTACATTCAAGCCCGTTTTCGCCGCGCGGGAGAAAAGTGATTCACGAGTGCAAAGGGTCGAGATAATTGTTAGTTGTCAAGTGGTTTTCCTATCGGGTCATCGCACCTCGGGTACAAATTAACGGAAGGGAGAGGAACAAAACGAAGAAGAGAAATTGAATTTGCCTCGTTGCGTCGCGGACTCTCCGGCTACTCGGTAGATGTCTATTTCTCTTTTTTTTTTTTCTTTTTTTTTTCCTTTTTACGCGTAATGACTTATGTGCAATGCGTACTTATTATATTTCCCTAGGCTATTGGAAAAAGAGGAGTTTAAATGCTTTGTACTATGTCGAGGAATTTGTATATCTTTCCGTATTTTCCCTTTCGTCGTTACTCGCCTGTTGTGCTCTGACGTCTCTGTTTGAAAAACCGGTAATCACATTTACGCACACGCGCACAGAGGACGCACGCAAAAAACGCAAGCACGCACACCACGCCGGACTGGACCAAGCCGTGAAACTGAACCGCGCGGCAGCTGGATTCTCTGATAAAATATACACGTAAGAACAGCGCCCGTTGGTTCATGCAAAACTTCTTCTTCTATCTCGATATTGAATCCCTTACGGTCTAGCAGCTCCTCGGCGTTTCTCTTTCGGTCTGCAGCTATTTTTGCGCAATTAAGAGTTGATTAAACCAAGGAGACGATCGACGGCTTTCGAGTGACTTTCTTTTTTAATCGACCTTCAAAAGACAAAATACACGACAAATTGGCAATTTAATCCTTCAGAAATCAATAACGACGCTAATTCACCATCGATTCTAGATTCAACATCGTACACGGCAAACTTGTGAATTACAAAATTTTTGTAATCTCCCGTCGAGGGAGAGACGAGGCCAGGCCGTAAGGGATCACGTGTGTACACGTGGTGCTAGCTGCGTCTTATGTCTAAGGTTACTTAAAAAATCAACCGGCTACCCGACGAACATTATAGAAAATTATGCACTTCTCGAGAAATCATTATTTTATGCTTCACTCGGAAACGATTAACTTTTACTTGGTGTTCATCTTAAGACTATCCTCCTTTGTTTACTTCATTTTACGGTTTCGTTCTATTTACAAGGAGAAAAGTGCACGGGGAAGAAGAAGGACCCTCTTGGCTCCTCTAAATATGCCAGCGCGAATCTCAGGTTTTTTTTCGTTTATTGTACTTTTTCCCCTCCGTTCTGTGTATTTTTTTTTTTTTCTTCTTCTTCTTCTTCTTTTCATTCAGTTTTGCATGAACTAACTAAAATCCGTAGTTCGCGCGTGAAGTAGAACTATTACGCGCTTCACGCGGCGAAGCCATTTATTTATTTTCTTTTTTTTTTCTTTTTTTTTTCTTTAATCGAATTCATCTTCGGCTCTATTCTGGATTAGTACGATTAAGAGTTTCTTTTCGACACTGCGTAGAAAAATATGGTTTTCATTGTCACCCTCATATCTCTCAGTGAAATCGCGTTTGATTTACAACAAACTGTTATCTTTTAAACTTTTAGTTTCTCTCTTTTTTTCTCTCTCTCTCTCTCTTTATCTTCCCTGTTCGAGCAATTATCTTTACGTCTGATCGTTCGTCGAAAACAATCAGTTTTTACAATAACTACTACGCCGTAAATTAGTGAGAAATCAATGCTCGAAAATTTTGCTCCTTCTCGTCGTAATATTTCTTTTTCACATTCGGTTCTTCAATTTTTTTTTCTTTTTTTTTTTCGTCGTCGCTTCGATAGAGTTATTTCGATAAATATTGGAATGTCGTTGGCCAACACGACACGTTCCATTTCGAGCAATGATTATCTTTGAACTTACTACAGAAATAGCATTCAATAATGTCTAGTCGTATCGCTGTAAATGATAGTATACAAATGATACAAAAAAAGTAATAACAATAATTATCATTTCGTGCAATTAATCCTCTATAATTCAATGTCTATATTGTCCATGACGAAGCTTTGAAAAGTTTCTCCTTTTTTTTCAAAAAATTTCACCCACTTTTGTTACAAATTTCGTTCCTTATCTCGGGCGAAACCAATTTCAACTGACGTTTCAAAATCAAACGCCATTGCACGCTCGTCGCAATAATAATAGCTCATAGAGGATTAAACAAACACGAGTACGAAACGAGTTTTCATCGCGCGCAAGAAAAAAGAGATCGTACAAATTTCTGTGAATTTTCTTCCCCTTTTTCTTTTGCAAGATTCAAGATTTCTTTGTCCTCTACAGTTCCGAGTCAAACTGTAAAACGAGACGTACGCAAATTCAATCTGTTATTATCATTTTGTTAGTTCTCTCCATTCTCTCCGTTCTCGGCTTCACTCGCAATCTTTCATTCACTTAGCTCGTGCAACTTAGGCAATAAAGGCCTATACCTTATTACTACTTATGCTCTATGAAACGCGATATTTATGCTCGGTTAATCATTAGACACTACTATCGATTACAAGAACGGGGGAAAAAAAAAAAAAAAAAGTATCTGCAGCCAACGTTAGAAATGGAAACGTAAAAATTAAATCATCCTCGACCAACGCAGGTTCGCGTGGAACACCGCTCTTTCGCAATGTGAAACTGTAGTTCCGCCTCGGTCAGACATCAAACGAAATATACACATGCGACACTCGGTATATAAGTACAAAAACGTATACGCACGGCGCCACTGGCGAAATTTCAAAATCTTGAAAATCACGTAAAAAATAAATATTTTCCATTCCATACAAAATAACAGGATCTTCGACATTCCTTTCACGCTTAGCCCTTCTGCTGTGGTTGACAAAAACGGAGAACGTCTCTGATCGTTCGCTAAAATTGAATTGAAACGAAGGGATCGTAATTAAAGAAAGAAAAGTACAGAAAAAACGTGTTTCTTCATTCTGTTCACTGCCACTCCCCCCC